CCCAACGCAACACCCTCGTGAAATTGTCCTGAAATTGCATGTCTCTCATGAAACAATACGTAAACATTTAAGGAATATAGTAAAACTCCATAAAGGAGGTGTTTGGGTGCCTCACGAACTCTCCGATGATCATCGTTTCCAACGTGTGAAAGTTGCTTCGTCTCTTTTGACGCGTGAACCATTTTTGGACAGAATTGTCACTGGTGATAATAAAATAGATTCTCTACGCGAATATTAAACGTCAAAAACAGTGGCTCAGTCCTAGTCAAAAACCACTTCCGACCCCCAAACCTGGACTCCATTCGCAGATAGGGATGCTTTGCATTTGGTGGGACATTAAAGGAGTAATTTATTTCTAAATCCTCAATCCACAGCGAACTGTCAATGTAGAGATCTATAGTCAGCAACTGGAACGTTTAAATCAAGCCCTTTACTCGTCAATCGGAAAGGTGTTCTTCTCCACGACAATGCACATCCACATGTGGCGCGTTTGACGCAACACAAGATTGTGGAGCTTGGTTGGGAAGTTCTCCCCCACCCACTATATTCTCCAGATATGGCACCATCAGATTACTATCTCTTTCGTCCACTACAACACCATCTTAATGGGAAAACGTATGCAAAGGTGTTAAAGAGCACATTGACATGTTTTTTATTTCAAAGCCAAATGATTTCTTTAATCAGGGCATTAACAACCTGATTGTAAGATGGAAAAGCATCATCGATAAGAATGGAAACTATTTCATTTAATAAATGTTTTGTTTTGATATATAAGTTGTTCGGGTTTTGACATCTAAAAAAGCAACATTATTTTTTTGACGACCTTGTAAAAATATTTCGCTTTTCCAAACAATATTGGTTTCAGACCTAACTATGTAATTTTTAGGCTACGCAATCAAGTATTTTCTCTGATACTGGACTCTTGGTTGACTCACTAAAGATACTATAAGACTCCCAGGAACGTCGAGAGCCAGCACGGGCCCCCTTTCTCTCTCTCTTTTTTAACATTTTCAAGAATGTATTAAAAATAAGATCCTAAATTAGGACAGCAACGAGCTCATAAACCAAACAAAAGTATAGCAGCAGCCGTTTTTACCTCACAGTATAAGCATAAAAACGTTAATAAAGTAACAACAAATATCTATTAAATCTATAAAGTAACAAATACATATTAATTATTACTTAAATTATCATTTCAGTCGTTCTTAATGTATCAAGCGTCTATATGCAAAGAATAGCCAAAAACTATGGTTTTTATCATTAAATGAAGATATAGCCTAAAGATGCTTTGCGGGCTTTACGCCATAACCAGGTTTCATTTGCCTGGGCCCCTGGGCAGTTGCCCCCTTTGGAATAATTGAAAACAATAATAATCAGAAACACAAGTTTTGATTAGTTGATTATTTTCATGACTTTAGTCAATTTCAATGTAATTTTGATTAATCATTTATTTTACGTGACACTAATTAATAATCATAAGTAATCGATTAAATCAAGCTAATCGCCCAGTTCTTATTTACAGAATATCTTATATTTCACTCTTTGAAAATACAAATGTTTTTGAAATATTTCAGGCACTTAGAATATAATAAATGCTTTTCTAATACCTGTGTAGGATCAATATTACACTGCTCCTTTGTGTGAGCTAAATAAATACAAGATAACTTCCTGTATTATAATATGTATGGTGTTTTGAGTTGTCGTTTACTCATTACATTGAACCTATGTTTATAAAGGATTTATAAGATATGTAACATTGATGTTATTAATTTATTTTTTAGAATTATTCAACAAACAAGCTGTTTAAAATATTAAAAATATGTTGTGGATTGAATGTTAGACTGGGCTTTGTACTTATTTTTCATAATTTCCTGTAATTCACCTAATGCACCGTAAAATAATTTTCTGGTGATCTTTAATCTTAATAATTCCAGACACTGTTACTCAACAGTCTACTATAATTAGTATATACCAGTTTTTCAAAAAAGGTGCTCTCATTGCACTTCATGTATAAATTGCTGGAGAACTGCTCATCCAATTAATTCATTTGATCTACATGGGTGGAGACAATTTAGAAATTAATTTGTACTGTAGTTGCATTGGGTGCTAAAAGAAAATATTTACATTTAAAATACAAACATTCTTTTTTTTTTTATACATATTCTAAATTTTGTGGGGAAAAAATATTAATCCACATTATTTCTATGTAATATATGTATATGTAATTTATAATAGTTTACGTTGTTGCTGGAAACAGTGGGCGTCTCCTTGATCCAGTGTTACAAGTCCATATTAAAAAACAAAAAGAACTATATAAAATTTATATTTTGAAAACATCAGCATGATAACACATCTAATCATTATCGCCCTGTGAATAACAGACTGGCTGAGAATCTACTAGTGGACATTTTTTAATATCTTATATCACTGAACAACAAACATTCCAAAAATAGACCCTTAGTAAGCCAACAACTTATGATAAAATGTCCATTTATCACCATTCTTTAACGTGCACTTCAAATTTGTTTTTAATTGTACTTCTCCATCTATTTCCATAAGCATCCAATTTAACTAATTAATCTATTTTAAGGTTCCTTATCAAAGGCTTTAAAAAATCAAGAGAAAATCATACGCTGTTACCTCAACCACAAAACGGAAGCCCCATCCAAAAATTCATTAAGCTGGTTTGATTAGAAAACCTTTTCCTAAACCCAGTATGATAACTATTTGTCAAATGCAACTTATCTAAGGCCTTTTCTAAATGGCTTCTTACATCAGATTTCAAACACTATGCAAAATTAAACAATAAATGAACAGGACTATATTTTTTTGTTCTTTGTTGTTTTTTTTCAGGCCATTTCATCTTAGAAGTAGAGATCACACTAGCAGCTTTCCAATCATCAAAAGTTTGTCCAGTGTGAAGACGTTTTTGCTAAGCTTTGTCAAAGTTTTAGAATAAAAGGACCAGAAGCTTTACTCTAAAGAATTCACCAGACTTTTCTGCAACAGATTTAAGGAAAACAAAATTGCTTCTCCCTTATGAAAAATTTATTATACTATGAATCTCATCTACTTCATTAGTAGAGACAGATGTAAAAATCTCATTAAACAACATAGAACCAAAACTTTCACATGGGTTCCTTCTCACATATAAATGAATTAGAAAAAGTTTTATAAGGATTACAGGGATCAATTTTTGTTTAATTTTAAGTTAGTTATAGGTTTCTGCTTATATTATTTTACATGTTTAACAAAACAGGTAATAAAAATAACACACAATTAAAAATTATTAAAATGATTAATATTATACTACAAACTAGAGTAATGTTATTCACCACATACAAAAAATCATTTTTGATTTAATGTGACATAATGGCACAACACACTGGTAATACCAAGATAAAAAAAAACAAACAGATTCTATTCAGAATTCTTTTATTCAAAATTATTACATGGTAGTATTTGGTTATTAACATGGATTAAATTTTGTATCCATAATTTTTGTGTTAGATAACATTTAGTGTTAACTTGAATGAATTTTGGTCAGTACCTTATAATTAATCAAAGTTAGCCACTGGGTTATATTTTTATACATATCACAGATACAGTAAGTAAATAACATTAGTCATATACATGTATATCTATCTAATCTCTTGGAAATACATGTAGGATGGCTAATTTGAAATTCAGAATTTCTGGAAATATACATTTACTATTAGGGTGAAAACTAATTTAAAATGTTGATGAAGCTATTGTCTGCCCAAATTTTTTCCCTCTAAAATGAGGTCATTCCCAATTTTATAAACATATTTAGACACAGTGTGCAGCATATTAAAAAATAGTTAAAAAATATAGTAGATACATTTAATATTTAGAATTAGATATCAATTTTGTTGATGATAGTTTGTGATTATGGCAGTGGTGCAGAAAGTAAACTGTTAGTGTTACATACCTTCATTGCCAAATAAACTCCACAATTTGGCTAGCAGAATACCCATAATGAGAAGCAACCTTCTCACTTTAGATGTCAAGAGTTTGGGATTTCACTCGACAAAGTTTCTGACATATGAAAACAGAATAATACTATACTGTAATTTTATAACTTAACAAAAAAAGAAGATTGTTAAAAACAGGTATCTGTCTTGAGTTTTAAATTCCAACTTCTAAGTAAAATATACAATGATTTTGAATAAGTTTTGTATTTTTATTTTATTTTGCATTTAAGCTTAATAATACTAATACTAAGACTGATATTAACTTGGCATATTTAGAGAACAATTTAACCTAGCTTATATCAGTTACGAGAAATTATGTTATAAAACCAAAAATTTTGGAATCTTGTTAAACAAGCCTAAAGCTGAATTAATTAAATCTTAGTTTTTGGTCCAAATAGGCTAGGTAAGTGTCATAGTGTAAACAACAACAAAAAATAAATTAAAACTGAAATAATACGTCACCCGATATTTGGGTAACTAAATCTTAAGCCTAACTTCACACAAACTGACAAAGTACATTATTACATATTAAATTGTTATTAAAATTTATCACACAGTAAATATTAGTTTATGTGCCAACTGTTCACTACTTTTTGGTAAGATTTCTATACTTGCTACGGTATTTCACGTTAATAAGCAAATTAATGATATTTACAACAAATTAATTCATTTTTCACACAACATCATATTACTATTACTCGTTAGCACTATCTAGTAGTATTTTCGACTTCGAGTCTATTGAAATTTACAAATTCAGATTTAAAAGCCTTACGGAATTAAACTTACATCCTCACTTAACGAACAAGGAGTGCATCTACGTTTCTCAGCCTCTGTTTTTTACTATTCCTTATGGTATTGTTACTTTTAACTATCGCAGTACACACTTGACACGACAGTTTCTCACATGACTTGAGTCACAATGCTTCTCACTTATGTGATTTTTGTTAGCCGTCTCTTTACCCTGCTGCGTTGAAAACCTATCTCAATGACGTAGAGGACGAAATCGAGGCTTGGATAAGAAGAAACACAGACATGTTTGTAGCGTATCCTTTAAAGTTTAACTTTAAGGTTGAATATCAGTACCAAATAATTTTTCAATAAATGCTTCTGATAAGATTAATACGACAATTTGATAAGACAAATACTTTATATCTTTATTTTATATGCAATGTAAACTAGAAACAGTTGTGTTAGTTTTTACATTAATTTAAATTTTAAGCCTAACTTCCATAAGTATTAATGAGACTGTGAGCGGGACTGCGTTATTACTATATAATTATAATGTAGTATTAGTATTAAATCTGATTATTGCAAAACATTAACAGTTAACCAACGAATGAGACATTTAGTGCTAATTATACATATATATAGATATAATTATGATAGTTAATACTTTACGTATACTATACTTTACATATACTTTACTATATAATATTAATAGTGACATGGTTATGGAGTATGTAGGCTTACGATACTTTTTTCAAGATTTGTAAAATAGATATCAACTCCAGCCGAAGCAAGTTACCCATATAGACCAAACTGAATATTTACCTTGTAATGAATGTAGCCAATTTAATATATTAGTGCTGCAAACTTTCAGGAACTTGTTTGAATGAGACTTTTGTAACAGTAAAATTTGAGCATGTAATAAAGTGCTATTAAGGTGAAGGAAATCACCTTGTAGAATGATGTGGAGGTTTACTCCCCCCTCCCAAATTTGTATTCAATGAAGCATAATGATGCAGTCTAGTCCATTTCTTTGATCAGTGCAATGGTGAATTTGACCTGGATCCAGCTGGTCAGACAACCAAGATTCATTATAAAAACTAATAAAGGGGTCAAAGTTGATAATTTGACCAAAACATGATATTTTATTATTTATGTGTGTAAGTGTGAAAATAGATCTGTGAGCCTCATGCTCAATGGGTGAGTGTTAGTAGCACTAATGTACTGTTCTTACATATCACAATTAGAATTCACTGTGTTATCAGAGGTACACTTGCTGTTAGCAGTATTTTTGGCCATAATCCTAATGATATCTAGCAAGGTGTAGAAAACAATAATTAGGTTTGTCTCAAATTATAAATCCATATACTAAGCTAACTAAAGAAATTTTTGTTTCTATTTTGTTAGTAAATTCTCATCACAAACAGCAGTCACAATGCCGAATATTATAATTTAAACTTTTATGTATTCATACAATCTAAAAATATTAAAAGCAATAAAATAAGTTCATATAAAAAATGCTGAATATGTAGAGTTTGAGGTAATCAATCCAGAGACATATTTCAAGCCAAGGATCTGCTTTTATTAGTTTTTATGTTTTATGAAAACTGTGACAGGCATTTATAAGGACATAATTAGAACCTAATTTTGGGCTAGCCGTGGATAAGGACATAAGAAAGAGCAGAATAGTAGAAGGCCATTATATTCAAGGTTTACTTCTTAGTGTAGAAGTTATGGCCAGTAGCTTTTGTATTGGTCATCTTTGTTGGCACTGGGCATGAAGGCCAAAACATAAAAATGGTGAGCACAATTAGCGACTATTCTCCATTGATATAACACACCCACAAATTCCTAGCATTTGCTGGGATACCTCATAAACAGAGCAAGGCCTTGTTTAAGGGTGAAGTATTCAAGTGAAAAAATCTAGATACGAGCATATGTGTCTGACTCTGTGTGAAAGTGTGTGACTGGGGGAGCAAGGTTAGTGCCCACTGCCAAGCATAACCTGGAATTTGTTTTTATAAGAATCTCTCAGAATTGTAATTTTTACTGTTTGATCTTTATCAAGTTACTGTTTTTGTAATAGAAAACCCACAAAATTGGGCAGGTATTGTAACATAAATGTTCAATATGTACTTGTTGAGAATCTATAGTCAAAGTGGGGGGCATGCATGTACCCCCCCCTCCCTATATATTATATATATATTACATTGGGTATAAAAAGAAATGGTGGGTGTTTTTTTTTATCCTTACAAATACATCTTGAAGAACTTCAAATTCTTGCTCATTCTCAACATGGATGACAAATGTTGATATAATAAACAACCATCGTGGTTTTTTATGCCAAATTCCCCCTCGTGCATAAAAAACAGCAGTTAAAAAATCCAAGTTAAACTTAAGAAGTCAGTCAATTGATTGCTTATTTTTCTACTTGCCAAATAATTTAAAACCTTATTGAATACCATAAATACATGTATATTATCTAAGGTTTTTTGATTAATTTTGAAGCCCCAAAGCCACCCCCCCCCATTCTGCTTATAGGCAAGCCCTAGAGTTACACCTCTAAGTATTCAATACAAGCAATATTTATTTTGTCAAAGCCTAACATTTTTTACTTTCTCGCATGTTTTGAAAATTGTATATATATGTGCTGTGTGAGTTTAGTGGGTCCATACTCTTCGCCTGGTGAAATCTCACCAGGTGAGTGATCTTATACTATGCTTTATTCTAATGTTATTCAGTTTTATGCAGCCAACAGCTATGATCTTTGTAAACTTCCAATATAATATAACTTAATAGTAATGGCAATATTATTTGGTACATTTATGATATTGAATAGCAAGATGGTAGCATTGTATGCAAAGGTGCCCCCAGAAAAAAATTTGGGGGGTCAAGTAACTCAAGTTTGAAAAAATTATGAAATCGATATACAAGTACCTTATGATTTTCCAATAACATAGAATAATAATTTTGCATATCTAGTAATTTTTTCTGTTTGAAAATATGGGGAGGGGGGTCAAATGACCCTCCTAGCCCCTTCCTGTGGTTGCCCATTAAATAAAATTCAATGTATGAAATTAATATAAAAATAATAACATATTTGAAATTCTTTGACCAGTTAATCGAATAATATTTTTAGGGACAACAAGGGACCTATTGGTCCATTTGGGTTGTCCCATCTTTTAAACTAAACTAAAACTATTAAATAAGAAAAAAATATAATAAAAAAAAACCTCAAAGCTAGCTCTTATCATTCATATAGTTATTAAGCTTTTTCTTAAACTTGCTTAAATTTACTGCATCCACAGCATCTGAAGGCAACTGAAGTCTAGCTGAAGATGACTCCTACCCTGCCAAAATTTATATTTCTGTCCCCTAGTCTTACCATTCTCACCATTAAGTATGAAAAAAGATGATGTATCAACACTATCAATTCCCTTTACAATCTTAAACGCCTCAATCAGATCCCATTTAACTCTTCATTTTTCAAGAGAAAACAATTTGAGAGATTTCAGCCTCTCCTCATATGATAACCCCTTCATCCCAGACACCATTCCAGTAACCCTTCTCTGAACCCTTTCCAACAATTCAATGTCCTTCCTAAGGTAAGGAGCCTAAGACTGAACACAATACTCCAAATGTGGCCTAACCAGTTACCCATACAAGATATTATAACTTCTTTAGATCTGTATTCAATATTTCTGTAGATACAACCTAAAATTCTATTTGCCCTACCACTAGCAACAGCACAGTGCTTGGATGGTTTTAGAGACCAATCAACTACTGCACCAAGATCCCTTTCTTTCATGACACTGTTAAGGTTATTCCCATCCAAATTATACGCATAATTATAATTATGATAACCCACATACATTATCTTGCATTTATTATAATTAAAACCCATCTGCCATTTATTTGCCCAACTCACTAAATGATCTAAATCATTTTGTAAAGCAGCAGCATCCTCTTCACAGCTAGAAACAATCAAGACCTTAATATCATCTGAGCCCTTCACATCCATGTATTTATCCTAAAACATTTTGAAATAATTCAAACTAACATTAAGTACCATACATCATCAAACAAACTATTTCACAAACTTATAATAGAGGGAAAAAATTACAGTGAAGAAATCTGCTTAAGGCTTCCAAAGCTTAAATCGGTGATTTCTAATATTCAGATTCCTGTTTTATGTCTTTTCAATCCACCATTTAACCTGAACTAATCACAAGAACATTGTTCAAATCTTAAATAATTTTATAGCCTGAATGAAGTCATCTCTAGAATTGTTCTTTTACACACCAGAGAGTGAAAGTCCAAAATTTGAACCCTCTGCTAATAGCTTAAACTTGCTAAATTAAAGTGTCACTCTGCAAACTAGATTTTTTAAAAAATATGACTTCCAAGATATTTTAATGGAGACATTTTGGTTAGAATGTCCAAGAGAGAAGATTGTTAGTGAAACTTTTGGCTGATTTTATAATTTCAAAAAAGATAGCTAAAGAGAAATATATTATTATTAAATGTATGTTTTTTCAGAAAGCTTTTTCTTAAATGAATGGAATAATTAAATTCAAACATGAAAAACACCCAGCTTGCAAGAATGTTAAATTCACATGCGAAGTGGAAAGTGTGTGGAGGTTGTAAAAATGAATAAAAGTCACTTTAGAAATCAGTCTTTTAAGGTAAGAATTAATAAAACAACATTAATCATTTTATTTACAATTTATAAGGGATTAATTATTTATTTATTTTTATTATTTACTATTGGAATTAATGTTACTACCAGTACCAAGAAGCTGATTTTCTTGTTCTGAGGGCAGGTCAAACAACCACACCATCAATGAGAAAAAAGTACATTACTAATTCTAAGAACACATGAATGAAAGCAAAATAGAATATGCTAATATGTTGACCATGCTATATCTGTCACATCCAGTGCTGATGAATCCTTTTGACCAATACTAAGGCTCATCAGACTAGCTGAGATATAACAGACATGGTAGTGGTCTAGGCACTATATATGTCATCAGTTTTCTTATTATGGTGAGAACCAGGGTGAAGCAATTGAATCTTTATTATCAACAGTTTTATTTAAGTCATTTGCAAATCAGACTTTTAGGGTGTTAAGCCTTTTTTTAAGTTAACATGCAAGAGTTTTTTAGATATTTTCATAGTTTTGCTTGACAATAAATTTAAAGAAACTTGAGTGTACCTTTTCCAAGTGATAAGGAGGCAGAGATAGCTTATCATAGCTTGAGAGTTGATGTCGAACCAAGTCGTGGAGGGACTGAAAAAGTTCTGAGTGTAGAAGAAAATACTCTGTCTGTGTAAGTATACAAGAAGAAAAAGAAATGTAAACAAACTTTATAGGAAGAAAATATGATGGAATTCTTAAGTTTGTATCTAATAATCCTTACTCATTGAAGCCGATATATATTTTTATTATGTTACTATGGTAAGTTTAATTTTAGATTGAAGGCTTTATTCACAATTTAAAAGACAACAACTTCTTTTCGATACAGTACAGAATAGTAAAAAACATAAAGTTTTAAATTATCTGAAAT